ATGTGGGGATGTTTGTCCAAGACCAAGTTACATCGTCTGTTTTTTTTAGCCATTGCAGGAAACTGCAGAACCCCGGAGGAAACCCATGCAGAACACGGGGAGAACATACTAACTCCACGCAGACACGAATCGAACCGGGGGTCGTCTTGCTGTAGGTCGCGAGTGTTAGCGCTGGGCCACCCTGCCACCCTTATAGATTGTGTGTGTTGTGTGACGGGTTCACATGATCCCTGCAGCCAGTAGAAATTCCGTACGATCCACAATGGCAAAACAAATCTTCTCGGTTCATGATTTCAAAGTGGGAATCACGAATCTGAGTCACGCCAATTCATCGAATCATCGGGGAGTGAATGTTTGTCACGCCTAAATTATTCACCCGGGTTGTGGGCAAAGTGGATCATTGCTCGTAACTTGCAACAAAAGAAAAATGTGGTTGTACAGAGTGCATGTCGTTAGACACAAGCCGTATGTTTACACGGGTGTGAGTTTCTCTGCTGAGGTCAACCCAACGACATTTTGTAACGATGGAGAAAATGAGGTAGGGACAGAAACAGATAAAGTATTCATATTCTTGGTTCTTTCGGTAAAGTCATGTAGAAGGGAAACAATAAAATACATTTTCTTGCTATGGGTTTCACACCTGATGATGATTGCTTGTGTTGCAGTCGAAACGTCGTGAGAATTTAATTGTTTTATATTTTTATTATTTTATTGTTTCCCTTCTACGTGACTTTGCCGAAAGAACCAAGAATATGAATCCCTGCAGTCACGAAAGCTTTAAATCAAGATAAAGTATTATTCAAAAGGGCCTAAGAACAATGACGATGGTTCAAGAAAAGCATGCAAAGGTTTATCGTGGCCTTGTTTGTGTGTGTGTGGGGGGGGGGGGGGTAGATTGCTCACAAAAAATATCATCAAAATAACATTGCATTGTGTAAATGAAAAAAACAAAAGGTGCAAGATAATTTCCACGGAAATTTGTTCAAAGGCGATAGCGGTCACCCGAGGATATGTATGCTTCATCTGTAACGAACACGATTGCTTCGTGTCCTCGAGCTAAAGAGACCGTTACATGTACGCACGTGCACAGTGATAGGGTAGCGACGTCGCTACTCTGTCACGCAGGATAGCGATGTAGCTACTCTGTCACACAGCGTGACAGAGTAGCTACATCACTAACCTGTGTGACAGAGTAGCTACCTCACTACCCTGTATGACAAAGTAGCTATGTCGCGACCTTTTATGTCAGAGTAGCTACGTCGCTACCCTGTGTGACAGAGTAGCTACGTCACTACCATGCGTGACGGAGTAGCTACGTCGCTACCCTGCGTGACGGAGTAGCTACGTCACTACCCTGTGTGACAGAGTAGCGACGTCACTACCCTGTGTCACAGAGTAGCTACGTCACTACCCTGCGTGACGGAGTAGCGACGTCGCTACCCTGCGTGACAGAGTAGCTACGTCACTACCTTGCGTGACAGAGTAGCGACGTCGCTACCCTGTGTGACAGAGTAGCTACGTCACTACCCTGTGTGATAGAGTAGCTACGTCACAACCCTGTGTAACAGCGTAGCTACGTCACTACCCTGCGTGACAGAGTAGCTACGTCACTACCCTGCGTGACGGAGTAGCGACGTCGCTACCCTGCGTGACAGAGTAGCCACGTCACTACCCTGTGTGACAGAGTAGCGACGTCGCTACCCTGCGTGACAGAGTAGCTACGTCACTACCCTGCGTGACAGAGTAGCTACGTCACTACCCTGCGTGACAGAGTAGCTACGTCACTACCCTGTGTGACAGAGTAGCTACGTCACTACCCTGCGTGACAGAGTAGCTACGTCACTACCCTGCGTGACAGAGTAGCTACGTCACTACCCTGCGTGACGGAGGAGCGACGTCGCTACCCTGCGTGACAGAGTAGCTACGTCACTACCCTGTGTGACAGAGTAGCGACGTCGCTACCCTGTGTGACAGAGTAGCTACGTCGCTACCCTGCGTGACAGAGTAGCTACGTCACTACCCTGCGTGACAGAGTAGCTACGTCACTACCCTGCGTGACAGAGTAGCTACGTCACTACCCTGTGTGACAGAGTAGCTACGTCACTACCCTGCGTGACAGAGTAGCTACGTCGCTATCCTGCGTGACAGAGTAGCTACGTCACTACCCTGTGTGACAGAGTAGCTACGTCACTACCCTGCGTGGCGGAGTAGCTATGTCGCTACCCTGCGTGACGGAGTAGCGACGTCACTACCCTGTGTGACAGGTTAGCTATGTCCCTACCCTGCGTGACAGAGTAGCGACGTCGCTATCCTGTGTGACAGAGTAGCTACGTCACTACCCTGCATGACAGAGTAGCTACGTCGCTACCCTGCATGACAGAGTAGCTACGTCGCTACCCTGCGTGACAGAGTAGCTACGTCGCTACCCTGCGTGACAGAGTAGCTACGTCGCTACCCTGTTTGACAGAGTAGCTACGTCACTACCCTGCGTGACAGAGTAGCTACGTCACTACCCTGCGTGACAGAGTAGCTACGTCACTACCCTGCGTGACAGAGCAGCTACGTCGCTATCCTGCGTGACAGAGTAGCTACGTCACTACCCTGTGTGACAGAGTAGCTACGTCACTACTCTGCATGGCGGAGTAGCTATTTCGCTACCCTGCATGACGGAGTAGCGACGTCACTACCCTGTGTGACAGGTTAGCTACGTCACTACCCTGCGTGACAGAGTAACGACGTCGCTATCCTGTGTGACAGAGTAGCTACGTCACTACCCTGCATGACAGAGTAGCTACGTCGCTACCCTGCGTGACAGAGTAGCTACGTCGCTACCCTGCGTGACAGGGTAGCTACGTTGCTACCCTGCGTGACACAGTAGCTACGTCACTACCCTGTGTGACAGAGTAGCTACGTCACTACCCTGTGTGACGGAGTAGCTACGTCACTATCCTGCGTGACAGAGTAGCTACATCGCTACTCTGCGTGACAGAGTAGCTACGTCACTATTCTGCGTGACGGAGTAGCTACGTCGCTACCCTGCGTGACAGGTTAGCTACGTCACTACCCTGCGTGACAGAGTAGCAACGTCGCAACGTACCGGTAGACATTCAGTCCCACGGCCCAGTGTTCATTGCTCTATACCTTTTATTTTCTTAGCAAATAACTGTTTTGCTTAATTATTTTCGCGCTTTTTTACGTTTGTGAGATAAATATGTTCACTGACAGTGTCCAAAGATCGTCCTGTGCCACCGTTTCATGTCATTTAGATTCGTAGGCTCAGAAACGTCGAGATTTTTTTACAGTATTTTTTGTTGAAAATAAATACATGTACAGGTGCCTTTTTTCGATCCACTACTGGATGAAGGCAGCCTCCCTCACCAAATAGTGTGTTGGAGAAAGCGGCCAGTTCAGATATTGCTCACCACTCTATGTTGGCCATGGCTCTGAAATTTAACTCAGGTTATCCGGTTTAAAGCACAGTGCACCGACCAATGCATTTCCACTTCCACCTCCCCTGACGTCCTGTTATTACCGATTGCCTTATAAAAAAAAAACCCCTTAATCATCATTCTTTTAATATCTTAAATAAAATAGAGAAAGGTAAGTGAAGTCCACTTAGGCCTTGGACCGTAGGCACCGAAGGAAACGCCACCAAAGCTGTCGTGAAGCTGCCACATTTCACATTGAACATTTATAGGAAAAAAAAACCTATCACAAACGACGTGCAGGAGGCATCATTAAATGTGCTTCAGGGAGATACCGCAACATGTAAAACTAGAGGATAAAACATATACAGATCAACAAAATAAAGCCTCAATACTTATTATATCCGGCTATCTTACAAATACAGTGCTCTCATTTTTTATATATATAAACTATTGCCAGTTTAATCGGCTACATTGAGTGCGTGAAAACTGTCACAAAGTGTGGGGGGGGATTTTGTTCCCTCATGTGAACAAAGTCATCGTGACACTTTATTTACTGTGTTGTGTTTTGTATCCTCCCCTTTAATGTGTGTTTATGTGTTTTTAAAATAGCGAAGTGGTTCCTGCACCGAACTGCGGAACCCGGCGACCGAAGATACCCGAACCAGGTCCTGGGCCTCCCCTTGGTCGACTCAGCCTCAAATAAGTAGCTTGTGAAGTATGAGTACTGGAGAGACAAAGGCGGCTGGGCGTGGATTCCATCCACAGAACTCCCTCGTGCGCCCTATCAGACTTAATAGGTGTTCTCTAACAGTGCTCACTTCAACAATATATAAGGCTACGTGGGGGAAGGGGGCTGCCTTTGTTGTTTCGTTTCCCATTGGAAGGTTCCGATTTGGAAATGAATTGGACGGAAATTTTTTAAATACAAATATGAACAAAAAATGTGTTTACTTTTCATGTTTGGGTTTAAGCTGTATAATAGTTGGAAAATAACTTGTGGAAGTTGCGTGATATGTTACTGAATCTTTAATTTTTTTTGTTCAAAGTCTAAAACCGAGCCATATGCATTGGACAACGTTCTACAAAGACACAGCCCTGTAGTATCTAGTCTCGCTATGATTTTGCACATTCGGCAAATGAGCCATTTGAGGGTGGGAGGAAAAAAACGGAGCGCTCGGAGAAAACCCAACGCATGCGAGGAGGGATAATGGAAATCCATACAGATAGTTGAGGGAACCTACTTGCTGTGCCATTTAACTGGTCACCGGTGGTTTGTAACACGTACAGACGAACCAAAGTGCTCCATTCACAGGCGTACGCCACCACTACACTCACACACACAAAGACAAAGATCCCCCGTGTAGCCTTAACAGACGGTAGGTGCATGCGCTGTTAGCGAGCAGCACCTATGAAGGCCGTCACGGCACACCAGGGGGTGGGTTGCCAGTACCAAGCCCGGTCACCTTTGTCTCCCTGGCGGTGATGTTTACACATCGCATCAGGTACTCAGTTGAGGCTGAGTCAACCTAGGGGAGGCCCAGGACCGGTTCAGATAATCGTCACTGGGTGTTGACCGTGAGCGTAAATCAAACACGAGTCGCCGGGTTCGAAGCGCGCTAACCACTACACCACCTCTCCCCAAACACATACACAAAGAACACACAAACGCACGCACGCACGCACGCGTGCGTTTTGTTCTCAAAACAAACGCGTCACAATTAACCGGTGAATGCGAGCGCGTGGACTTTACCGGCCGTGCGCGCGCGCGCGCGTGCTGCCTTCCGAACTTTGCGAAAGAAATAACAACATAAATACGATGACGGCTACCGCACTACCGGCGTGCTCGCCGCTTGCATACGTACACCGCACCGGCGCGCGTACGCGGCGCACGACGCTCAACCGCTCTCACTGCGCCGCGGCGACGCTCGACAGCAGGTTGCAGTGGAACTTGCGGATGTGGCGGTAGAGATCGCCCGACTGCGTGAAGCGCCGCTCGCACCACTTGCAGGCGTGCGGCTTCTCGCGCGTGTGCACCACGGCGTGCCGGCTCAGGTTGTGCGAGTACTGGAAGCTCTTGCCGCACGTGGCGCACGTGTACGGCTTCTCGCCCGAGTGCGTGCGCTCGTGCCGCCGCAGCGTGTATGCGCACGAGAACGTCTTGCCGCACTGCGAGCACGTGGGCGTCCCCACACCGGATCCGGATGCGCCGACGCCACTCGCCCCGTTTCCCGACGCTCCCCCTCCACCGCCACCGAAGCCGAACTGGCCGCCGCCGCGTGGCAGCGACGCCGCCTTCCCGCAGCGCCGGGCGTCCGTGTCGCAGAAGTGGGCACTCAGGTGCATCTGCAGCAGCTGCGGCGCCGGGAAGATGCAGCTGCAGAGGGGGCAGGCGAACACGCCGGCCGCGGCGGCCGCGGCCGCGGCCGCGGCGGATACGAACGGCAGGGCGTAGGCAAACGCCTCCGCAGGCGCCCCTCCCGCCGCCACCAGTTCGTGGCTCTGTCTGCCGATCCCTGCCGCGCAGGGCCCGCCGCCGCCGCCGCCGACGCTGCTGGCGTCGGAGCGGGGGCTGCCATCCGTCTCCGTCGGCGAGGAGCCACGCTCGTCACCACTGCCGCCACCGTCGCCGCCAATGCTGCCTCCGAGTGGCGCGGCGGGTCCGGCCTTCCTCACCACGCTCTCGTACCGCGGCGGATGTGGATGCAGCCCCTCCTCATCCTCCTCGGGCTCGGCGGCCTCCCGGTCCAGTTTGACGGCGCATGGCAGCGGCTTGCGGCGCCGCTCGGCCTCCACGTGCCACGCAGGGGAGGGGAAGCGGGTGGGCAGCACCGGCCTGAAGGACAAGTCCAGCGCGTGGTCACTCTCCACGTCGCTGCCGTTGCTCGTCGCCGGAGAAGCCTTGGCCCAGCGCTCCACATCGTTCCGGCTTCCCCCAGGAAACTTCCCGTTGAAGACCTTGTCCGGCTCCTCCATCCTCCTGGATGGCGGAGCCTCTGCCTTGATATCCACGCCCTTGTGTAGCAGGTGGAGATGGTGGTGATGGTGGAGGTGGTGGTAGGACCCGCTCTCCGCTTCCCCCTTGAAGCCGTCCTCCTCAAAGCCCCGGCCATTTCTGCTTGACCAGCGGGTACCGCCTCCACCCCTGCCATTGTCGTCTTCACGGCAGGTGCCGTCCGGCCCGGAGAGGTGATTCTCACCCGCCGGCCGGCCTACATGCTGGTAGGCCAGCTGCTGGCTGCACGCCTTCACCACGTCGTACATGTGCAGGTAGCTGGCGGCCGCCAGCAGGTCCTCGGGCGGCAGGGCGTCCACCCTGAGGCTGCCCTGGTACATGAAGTCGAGGAGGATCGCAAACGCCGAGGGCGTCACCATTTCCGGGTTGAGGTCGATGACGCAGGCGTGGTCTGGGTTGCCCTCCGAGCCGGCGACGGGCCGGCACTCCCCCGTCACGCCGTCGCCGTGCTCCGATTCATGTGGCGTCCCAGCACCCCGATGGCGGGGCGTGTCTCGCTTCCCCGCCGTCTCCCTTGACGGCCGATCCGTCGGCCCGCAGCCGTTGACGAGGCGGGCGTCGTCAGGAACGACGCCGCTCGGCGCGTCTCCGTCGCCGCCTCGGAGGCACGGGGACCTTTCGCCCACGCCGCCCCCGTCCCCGCGGCCGTTGCCGCCTTCCTCCCCGCCGCGCCTCTCGCTGCCGTTCTGCCACTCGCGTTTGGCCACCCTGCCGCCCGGGAGGCGCTCCTCTCTGAAGCGCTCGTGCCTCGGTCCGCGCTCCGCCTCGTCTCGCCTGCGGCAGCTCTCGCCAGCGCTCTCCGCGCTGCCGAGACGCTCGTCCTCTAGGCGCACCCGAAACGCCGCTGCCGTGTCGTCGATGCCGTCGCTAACGGCGTGTGGCCGCTGGTTCCCTCCGCCGGCCCCGTGCAGGAGAAAGCCGTCGCTCCGTCGAGGCCACGCACCTTGGCAGCCATACCCCTCGTCAACGGGGGGGCGGCGGCGGCAGCGATTTTGGGCGTCGTGGTCCAGCTCCGCCCTCTCCCATTTCACTCTGCGCCTCTCGCCGGTTGCCACCACCTTCTCGTCCACCCCCGCGCCGAGGCCGCCGTCACCGCCGCCGTCACTGTCCCCGTCGAAGCGCTCGCGTTTGGCAGAACGATCGGTGGGCCCGGGGCCGGGCACCGCGCGGTGCCCGGCGCGGCACGACAGCTGGAAGTGGAGGCTGCAGGCGGCGAGGACGGCTCGATGGGCGCGGAAGTGAGCGGGCCCCACGCGGACCGTCACGTCGCACAGGAAGCCGCGCAGCAGCTGTTGCCTCAGGCCCCGCAGCAGCCGCTCGCCGTGGCCCGGGAACTCCATCCTCCACTGCTCATAGCCTGCGGCAAGAGGGCAGGAGGAGGGCAGAGGTCAGCACGGGGCGAGCGGGTCGGGCGTGCTGGGGGTCATTCGAGACGACGTTCACTACAGACAATGTCTGGCTGTCCGTCTGTCCGGACCGGCGGGCTGCGAGGGGTGAAATTTCTGCCGATGACTCAAACCCGGAGCATAGTCTTGTCCACGCAAATGTCGTTAAGCACGCATGACCACGCAAACCTCGCCCGCTCAGTGGTTTACAATTTGGTGCTTTTGCTCAAATCAGTGGTGGTTTGCGTAAGTAAAAATAGTTGAGAAAGTGATGGAAAAAAACCTTAAACATTTCCTCGTTTGGAAACGCATATAGCAGTTTAGACCAGGATGTATATTGAAAAAAGAAAGGTGTATGGAAAAAGTTAAAGAGAATTGCTGTTGTTGTTTGAACAAAAATTGGCACTGGCAGTGCCCAATCCACAAACCCATGCTGACCAGTGTGATGTGAAATCAGATATCTAAACACACCCACACGACTGACCGTAGCAATGGGGACGAGGCCTTCATCCAGAAGTGGATTGACAATGGCTATAAAATACCTGCAATGATTGCGGTAAGTAAAGTAGGCCTGAATTGTTCGTACTTCTAATTGGCTGCCAACGTCATTTTATGGTCAAACATTCCAAGTAGGGCCCTCTTGAAAACAGCTTTGAGGCTCAGTGAGGCTGCCATGGACTATTTAGTCAACATTATTTGGATTTCCTTGGGAAATATATTTTTCTTGTTTTTACCAACTATAGCCCCTGTATCCTCTTTTCTCTCCCCCCCCCCCCCCGCATATTATCAGATTGTCCTTTGAATAAAAAAAACGACGTGACTATTTAAGCTATACATCATCAGCCATGATCTATCCACTGCTGCATGAAGAGCTCTCCAAGCCATCTCCATTTGCCACGGTCTTGATGGAACGATCCATCTACTGTAGCTCCTGCACATGAACTGATTTAACTGCTCCATCTTGGCAGTGAGCGTGCTACGGCGGGGTATTTTCCTTCCATAATAGAGGTTTTGGGTTAGAGGGCTGTAAATATATAAATGTGTTGTAACCCTCCACCACCCAACACAGCCAGTAAGGTTTGTCACGTAAACAAAACGCGCCAATTAGTTACTACTTCAACCCACCGGTGTGTTGGAGAGTAAATCCACATTTAGAATTTGAGTACGACGTTTCGGTGGTAATTACATCCATGTCGGGTGGTGGAGGGTTGCGACACATTTATTTACGCGTAACAACCCAAAAACCTTTATTATGAATAGTATTGGTCGCGAAAGCCTACGTGTTCAACTCACATCAATAAAACTATGACGTCAAAAGTAAAAAAAAGTGTAACGGCGACGTTTCAGGCAATGTCCTTCTGAATTGTGTGATTTTCGTCGCTACAAAAGCAGTTTCGCCAAATCATTTGTTTCATAATTTTAACGTAAATATGTTTAACACGTCTGGCTGGTTGGAATCACCAGCGAAGCATCACAGTACTGAAATTGTAAATGTTGCGGGTTTACTCTTCAACACACCGGTGGTGCTGAAGTAGTAACTAATTGGCATCTTTTGTTTACGTGATAAACCTTACCAATTGGCTGTGTCAGGTGGTGATGGGTTAAAGGCACATTTATATTTACACGATCTAACCTAAAAAAAACCCGTTATTATTAAATATTTTGTGCATATTTTGTGATGCTAAAATGCATCACGGGAGCACACGCCATTGGCTTAATAGTGTATAATAAAATACATTTTGACTTAAAACTTTCGTGACTACAGGAATTAATAGTCTTTGGTTCTTTCGGTAAAGCGACGTCTATAATTTAAAAAAACATTTTCATAATTTTTATTAACTTTATTTGTATTTTTTTCCACGTGACTTTACCGAAAGAACCAAGGAATATTATAAAACACTTTTAACAGTGAGGAGTCGAGTAGAGTTGCTCATGTAAAGTAACCAATACGAGCCGTGAAGAAGGGCCATTGCCTGAAACGTCGACCGTTATATATTATTTTCATTTTAATTCCACGGTTTTATCTACGGGTTTGCTGAGTGTTTTTTTTTGGTGAAGAAATCCACTCTCAGGCGTCCTTTGACGCCATTTGTGTGTGTGCGCGTTCTAAAGGTTACTTCCAAGAATTATTGCCTTCCCGCAGAATATTTGCGATAAGCAGCGTGGAACACAAGACCATTAAGCTGGAACCTAAATGCCATTTTAGTTTAACATGCTGTAAATCCATTGAGTGGAAACTACCAATTAATTTATAACATTAACACTGCTCGCTATACCACACACCTGAACGCCAAGGAATCTCAATGTGTCAGTCAACTCACTTTATTCATATTCTTGGTTCTGTCGGTAAAGTCACGTTGAAGGGAAACAATAGAATAATAAAAAATATATATAAAACAATAAAATTATCACGACGTTTCGACTGCAACACAAGCAGTCATCATCAGGTGTGAAAACCAACGGCAAGAACATTTGAAAGAAGTGGCGGTTTGTATTTATTTATTTTTAAACGTTAGCACCACGGATAGCGATTTGACAGTTTGTTTAGATGGATGAGTCCATCTATGTTCGGAAAAGAGGAGGGGGGAGACGAAAAATTAATGTATGCTGTCTGAACGCCACGGTAAGCGTGAACAATCAATTAAGACCCGAAATGGTTTATCAAATCCTTCCAATGATTGCTAAGCCAGAATCCATCTTCTCGGTTGAAATTGTCTCTGTGTTTCTATATGTGGATAGCCTCATGAACGAATCTCTCATGGTAGCCAGATGGCCTGCAAAGAACCTCTGTCTTGGAGAAGTCAATGTCATGTGAGCCTACTGAATTATAACAGTGATCTGCCACGGCCGAGGTGTTGGTCCTACCGTGTTTAAGGTCTGCTTTGTGTTCACGAATGCGGTCCGAGACATGTCGTTTGGTTTCTCCAATGTAACTACTACCACAGATTGATTGTTCACGCTTACGGAGGCTTTCAGACAGCATACAGTAATTTTTCGTCTCCCCCCTCCTCTTTTCCGAACATAGATGGACTCGTCCATCTAAACAAACTGTCAAATCGCTATCCGTGGTGCTAACGTTTAAAGATAAATAAATAAATACAAACCGCCACTTCTTTCAAATGTTCTTGCCGTTGGTTTTCACACCTGATGATGACTGCTTGTTTTGCAGTCGAAACGTCGTGAGAATTTTATTGTTTTATATATATTTTATTACTTTATTGTTTCCCTTCAACGTGACTTTACCGAAAGAACCAAGAATATGAATCACTGCAGTCATGAAAGCTTTAAATCAAAATTTAACCTTGTTCAGTGAAATATTACAACGTTCACGATAAATGATGCTCCCATCCTGCTATACATTTCCACGTGATAAGCCACTTTGTTGAGCGATCATCGGTGATGGCCAGGTCGCTTCTGAAAAATAACGAATAGCTCAGTGGGCCCTACCTGGTCAAATAAAAAATAGTTTAGTTTTAGTTGAATTATTGTTAGTTACTTACCTTTCCTATACTTTGCACTCCAATCGTTTTAAAAAAAGAAAATGTTGTTTGTTGTTGTGACTTTCTGACCCGCCCCTACTGGACATTCGTGAAAAAAAGAGCTTCACACAGCATCGGATTTTGTCCGGGATAGGTACAGGCTTCCGATTGACTCTCTCACTCGTTCCTGCTTGTACATCCCTGCTCCCTCAATCACCACTGGAGTTCTCTACGATCGCGAGCGCGTGGGCTTCGGGGTCCCGTGGAGCCATGAGTTACTGAGATTGAGCTATCGTCACGTGTGGCCAGGTCGCTTCTGAAACAAAAACAAAGCTATATAGCCAGTGGGCCTTACCTGCTGCTTTTAAAACATAGTTTAGTTTATAATGCCCATAATAGACAATGACCATGTTTGGTCTTCATCGGTGCGCTGCAGTCTCTCGTGATGCTACGAGTTTCTATGCAAGCCCACTAGTTTGGTCTCGTCATGGTCATCAGGCTCCGTGATTCTCGACCACTCACGGTCGAGTTTAGAGTAACCTCGCTTATTTGTATCTTTGTTGACAGCATATTGAAGTAAAACGCTTCAAGATAAGTTAAATTCAGCACATAGTAGTTGGTTTTCCACCACAGCCATTATTATGAATCGTCAGTTGATGTCTGGTTTAGGCCACATAGTAATGATCTGGTAAAATGTAATCTGTTTTGACATATCAAAACAGATTACATTGTCACGCGATGTACGGGCATTTAACGATGCGCCAATTATGATTGTTTTAGCTCACTCCCCTGGTAAGTTGAGCAATTCTCACAACCACATTTGGCGATGCTGGCCCTCGATTAATTCTGCGGACTAACCCAAAAAAAAAGATTTTGATCAAAGTCCATAATATTTAGCTGACATACGCTCAGTGGTGGATTATCCGAGTAGCAAAAGTACCATATGCTACGGGCCCCGCACTTTGAAGGGCGCCGCGCTCTAAAACTTTCGTACTATACTGCCTTCAACTTTTATGAACGACTGGGTGTTCAAGGTTCGCGATTTGTCGTATTATCTGTCTGTATAGGGCCCCTTTATAACATATGTGCTACCGGCACCGCACTAGCTTCATCCGGCAGTGTCTGCAGGGCGTGGCTGCGGGGAACGTGGAGCGTGGCTGCTGTCTAATTGCGTGCTCGCTCTCTCGCTCTCGTTATCTCTCTCTCTCGCTCTCTCTCTCTTTTTTTACGATCAGAGGAAACAAGAAGATGCTCGGTGTAGTCGGCACTTTGCTCCGTTCATCATTTCGGTTTTTTTATGCTTTGCTTTATGTAATGAAAGACCCAACTAAATATATTTTTTTCTTCTTTTTTTATGCTCCTCTCTCTCTACCCCCCTCTCTGCCCCCCCCCCCCTCTCTCTCTCACTGCCCCCTCTCTTCCTACTCCATTTCGCTCGCTCTCTCTCTCTCAGGGACATCGGGATCTGATATCGGCCGCCGCACTCTGGCACC